CGTCCGTGCGGTGCTTGGCCTTTTCTTTCTTTCCCTGGCCAGCTGATGTTTTTGGGAACTGCCTTGGCTCGTTGGCGAACGGTGGCCGGCGCGAACGTGGCTCCCGGCGTGACCTCGCTCGAATAAAAACCGTCCTTTACGTAGACGGGTAGAGGGAGAGGGGCACTTGTTTGCTAAGGAGAAGCGGCGTCGAGGCTGGCAGGTTGCCCCGGGGACGAAGCGTTGGCGAAGCGTTGGCGAAGCGTTGGCGAAGCGTTGGCGAAGCGTTGTCGGGGCGCGTGGCCGAGCCGAGGGTCGTTCGCCTAATTATCGATCTATTCGATTAAGACGGCGTGAAGTATTGCGCAGGCCCGGGTCCGGGGCATAGGATCGCGAGACACAGCTTGAAAATAAAAGCCGAGACCGCGTCCCCGTAATGAGGAGGTCAGAGTTATCTGGAAGAGTCGTGGCGATTTATGAAGCCGGTGGCCCGAATAATGCGCGGTGGCTAATTAGAGTCGTAAATACGCCGGGCGGCGTACGGCCGTTACGCGGGGGAAAAAGTCGACGGAATCCGGATCACCCGGGAGGTGAGACCCCGTAGGCCGAGGGCTAGGCGTAGGGGCGATCTTCGGGGAAAAGGTTGCGCCCGCATGGCCGTGTACGGCCACGAGAATTCCGGCCCGCGAATATTTCTCATAATGGACGTGGCGCGCGCGCACGCAGGGATGCTCGAAAGAAACTTTTATGTCCTCGTCCCAGCCAACTCCCCGCCGGTCTGCTTTTACCCGCTTTCTTTCATTTCACAATGTTTTTCGGTGCCCCCTTCGCTCGTCCTCCACCGTCGATTGATTAACGGCGCGACGATTCACGATTTTTCGTGGGGCTCGAGGACCCTCGCATGAGGACCCTCGCATGCACGTATAAGGATACGCGTGATGCGTTTGGTTTTTATTTTTCTCAGTCGTCGAGACCACCGTCACTCGTCGTCCGCCTCCTCCTTCTCGCACACCGGTCTCTCTTAATTTCGTTGTTTCCGAGGCTTATATTGCCACGCGCAGGTGTAGTTGAAATAATGTTATCCGTTATTATTGTTATTATTATTTTATGAGCCGTCGTGGGCTGAGGGGACAGGCGAAACGTGGGTAAACATTACGATTGTGACCCTGAGAGTCCCCGTCATCGACGTCGTCGAGAGGCTTATCTTCTTTATTCTCTCTCTTATTTACTCCTCTCCCTTTGTCCTTCTTTTTTTTTCGAAGGGAACGAGAGAGAGAGAGAGAGAGAGAGAGAGAGAGAGCGCGCGAGTGCAATAATTCGCGAGTTGAGCGTTGCGGTGCTCGTGAATTAAACGTGTGCCATTAGATCGCGCGAAAAATGACCAGGACTTGTGCCTCCTTTCATTTTATTTATCTTTGTTTTTGCTTTTGTTTTTATTTTTGTTATTGTATTTTAAGTGATTTAGGCATTACGAACTTACGTAAGGCATGCCGTCCTTTTAATTAAAGAGTATGATTAATTCGATGATACATTCATATCTACATATAATGTGGGTATGCATAATGTGTGAGCGCGTGAGCTTGTGTGTATGTGTACAGTGTTATTATTGGCTTATTATAATTTGAATCTCGCGTATAAATAAGTAGTTTTTATTAAAGTTTAATAACTTCTTATAAAACAATTATACATTACGATGTGAGATATAATATATTTTGGTTATTTAATTATGTGACTAAACACGCCAAATACAGTGAAATATTATGATGACATTCTTTGAGAAACGTAAGTGATTCCCTAATTCCCTTGAAAATTTCAGCATCTTGTTAATTTAAGTTTGCTTTTCTCAAAAACTTCTTCCCTAAGGCTTCGAGGAGTACTAAAGATGTGTATTTTCTGCCCCTAAGCGACAACAAGATCTTACATAAAATCTCATTTAAAATATATATATTCATGAAATATAAACTACATTTTGTCGTTTTTAATTAAAAATTTCATCGGACATTGTTTTATATACAAATATATTTCAGAACAGACTGTATATACGAGGACACGTCTAAAGAAATTGTAGAAAATATTCACTCGACGCTTCAAATGCTTCAAAGCGCTTACAACACTAATTACTTTTGTAAAAAAAAAAAAAAAAGAAAAGGAATGAGATAAAACGCTATTCCTCTACAATATAATACACGTCTTATTAAAACAATTTAATTTATGTGCGAATCGATACTCATTAATTGAAAATAAATGCTTAATGAAAGTGAGCCGGAAAGCGAAGACAAGAAGAGGCGATGTAGCTGTCCGATGCTCGTCATCCTACCCTTAAACGTCCTCATTCACGATATAAAACTATGGTTAAAGATGGCCGTTAATGCGCATAATTACGGTTGGACTTGAATGACTTCCCGCTTCCGTTTCAAGAGCTGATGAAGTTTTGATCGATCGATCGATCGATGCATCGACAGGAGACGCATTGCAGCAACGCGAAAAGCCCGTAAATAAATGTCAGGCGACGTCGTCGCGCAGAAAAACTAAATTCCGTCGTTCCATTGGGACATCCCTTCTTACGTTAGGAATATTCGGGAACGTTGAAGCTCGTAATTACATCGGACAATCGTCATTATCGTCTCGTACTTGTTGACTGTTGTAACTTACTTGAGCGCGGGGGACTTTCATGATATCAGCTTCTAATGATTATCCATGGATTATTGGATGATACGTCGATAGAATGGATAGATTCCATTTAATGTTGGAGAGTCAAGGAGTATCGCGAAATGATTTATTTTGTCATTGCTGTTAAGGTGAGCCCGAGGGAGATAACCAAATGAAATATAAGCGAACTCTCGCTGGATCGCGAGAATTTTAGTGGCTTTGAGCTAATATTTGAACTACGCGTGCGCTCGTAAAAAAATTAGCAGCGTATTTACCTACCGAAACTGTTTACCTTGTATGCCAAGTTTTTTGCAATATCCACTTTTCTCTACCATCGCCAATTCCACCTACATTACACATATTGCGCGGGTGCACTTGAAATGCATTGAAAGCCACTTGAAATGCATTTGACTATTTTACAGTGTATATTTATCATTCTCTTATATCTATCAGTTTATTTTAATTTTCAACATTTCTCGCCATTACAGCCTCTCTCTCTTGAAAATAAATTAAAGTTATAATATGATTTCATTACATGACTTATCGATACGATAATCCTGTCTTAAATTCCCGTATTTGTTTGCCTGAACCGTCAGCCGTTCGTATATTGCCGACGCGTTCATTTTTTCACTTTTTTATCTCTCCATTTCTTATTATTATTTATTTTTATTTTTATTCGCTCTTTTTATGAGATTTTTCACTGTATGTTGATAATACGAAAATGAAAATTAAGAGGAGAAGAGAACTAATATTGTATATGAATTCACGTTAATGGGCAAGAAAACAATACGAACCGTAAACATCGTAACGATTCTTTTAAATAATAGATTTGTAAATTGTAATTGGAAATCGAAGATAATAAAAATTTAATCTATTTACGATATATGTTATAAATCTAAATAAATTGACAGTACGAGAAGGCGAATAAATTGACTGCAAAGAAAACTAATTGTTTATAATTATTAATTAAACTTTATAGATATTTTATTATATTTTATATGTTACAATATGTTTTTGTTTTTATTCGCGAGAAATGGCACGATCGAATAGAATGAAAATTTTGCCATTGCACCATTATAATCGTATGATCTTTTCGCCTCTGCCATTTCTCGAAATCATCCGGAATTATGGCAAAAGCTGGAAAATTGTTTAATATAAATACGATAATATCTGCAAATTATCCTTCAGTAAGTAAACGTATTCTCAAGCCAATTAATTCGCCAAAATGGAAAACTAGTACAAACGAATTTGTTTAATCCACTAATATAATCGACATGCTCTATCTCATTTTCGAATACAACTGTTTAATTTATAATATTAATTGAACATGCTGAAAGTCAACGTAACCGATTGCATTTTCGAAAATTTACTTTATCGCGTGCCGATAATAAGTTACTTACATAAAAGGATTTCCTATACTATCGCATTTGTAATACTCCTTCAATTAGCTATAAATAAATATCCACTATCTATGCTTTTTTCTTTCTTTCTTTCGAATTGAGTTTCTTATACAAATAGTGGTTGAATGTAGTAATTAAATTATTTTGATTGGCAGCTCTAAGCAAAGATCACAATCCGTGCTGCAATAACAAACGCTAGTATTTATGGAGAAAGAACTGGCAAATTTAATCTCTTTTGTCGAGACAAAATCACATAGTTTTAATTTATATATATATATATATATATATAGTGTATATGTATACGTATATGGAGAGGGAGGAGGGTGTTGGTGTGTTATCATACACGAGTAATTGCTATTAAAATTACAATTACATGTAAATTTACCTTTAGCCACTAACTGAAAGTATTTATAAGTATCTGGCTAACACCAACATTTAGCCATACAATTACATTAAGAATAATAATGAAAATTTTATACCACCTCATTGGCTCTCATTTATGGATTATGGTAACGTTAATTAAAAATTGAAACCTTAAATATGTGACAGGCCATAAGGCTGTTTGCCTTAGGTACGAAGAATCATATTTTTCGAGCTGTTGAATCACACATGATACGATCACGGGTATACAATACAACCTACCGCCAGCTAAAATCGCCTCAACAATAAGTCGAGAGCCAATATTTAAAATGAGCACACACATACGCATACAAAAGCGCGCGCGCGCGCGTGTCAATTATAGCTCGTCCATTGGAAACAAATTTCCTAGCAAATTGCCGATCCTTCCACGAGCATTCTCTTAAGAATACGTCTGTCTGGACATGAAATAAAACCGAATTGCGACTGGGGGTGGGTAGAAAAAAAAGGACGCTGGTAAGATCGAAAGTGAGAGAAGACGCGAGAGTGAAAAAGAGAAGAAGCGAGCAACGAGGAAGAAAGTGCGCGTGCATAGCTCAGACTGAGACGGAGAGAATGGAGAATGAGACGGGTATGTAAGTTGCGAGCGCGGCTGCAGGAAGGAGCCAGATAAAGAGAGAGACGGCACAACAATGGCACGTGGGCGAAATAGCGGAGGGAGTAAGCGAGCATTTCCTATTGTCCCGTTCGAAATTAAGAGTTTACCTTCGTTATTAATAGTCCCGCTCGCACGACTAGTCCTCGCGGCTGCGAACGACCGCCGCATTGCTAGTGGTGGTGGTGGTGGTGGTGGTGATGGTGGTGTTGGTGGAGGTGGCGGAGGTGGCGGAGGTGGCGGAGGTGGCGAAGGTGGCGGAGGTGGCGGAGGTGGCGGAGGTGGCGGAGGTGGCGGAGGTGGCGGAGGTGGCGGAGGTGGCGGAGGTGGCGGAGGTGGCGGAGGTGGCGGAGGTGGCGGAGGTGGCGGAGGTGGCGGAGGTGGCGGAGGTGGCGGAGGTGGCGGAGGTGGCGGAGGTGGCGGAGGTGGCGGAGGTGGCGGAGGTGGCGGAGGTGGCGGAGGTGGCGGAGGTGGCGGAGGTGGCGGAGGTGGCGGAGGTGGCGGAGGTGGCGGAGGTGGCGGAGGTGGCGGAGGTGGCGGAGGTGGCGGGAAGGAACGACGGTGGAGGAGGAGGAGGAGGAGTGAAAGCGGCGCGCCGGGACTTTTGATTTACTCGGCGCGCGCACGAGCCTTTTCCCGCATTATCGTCGCTACTCACTGCGGCGAAAACATCGGTACGTATCAATTGCGCCCCCTCCGTACGCTTCCCGGACGTTTTCGGCCGTGGCGCGTTATTTGTATGCAAATACGAACGTGAGAACGCTGCGCGACTTCGGCGTCGCCGAGTTTATTATTCGCTCTCGCGTCCGTGGTTCCGCGCCGCGTTATCTCAGCGTCGGCCGCGGCTATTGACGCGACCGGATGATCGATGCGTGCCATCTTTCTCCTCTCCCCCCCCCTCCAATTCCGACCCCTACCCCAGCCCCCTCTACCCATGTCACTCTCCCTCTCCAACAGAGCCAGCCCTTTGTTCGCCGATGGCGCGCGAATTGGAAAATTGAAATTATTCTTATCGCTGCGTCGACGCGGCCGATAAACTATTTTAATAATCGTCATTAGCGATAACGTTTCGCTGGCTTTTAATGGGTTTTAATAAAGCAAGCGAGTTAGTCGAGATCGCGCTCGAATCCGGGACACGTAAGGCGACAAGATTGCCGAGTTTCACGAGTCCCGCGGCTGCGGAAGCATATGCGGCAGAGCGGTGGACAGTCCATTAAAGTGCAAAGGACTTGAGCAACATGACGTGGATGGGCAGTCGTTTGGGCATCGATCAATATCAACGTGCCAAATATCACTTGTGCCCGGGAGTTGTTCATCGCTCGATGCCCGGATGGGAATTCGGGCGCGCCCTCGGGAACATCGGCGCAACCCCGATCGTCGATCTTTGGCAGAGACATCGCGGGGGCAAAGGCGAAAGGAGTAGAGCTGCGTAAAAAGGAGACGAACAAGTGCATTGTAGCTCTCGCACGACGCGGTAATAATAAAATTTAACAACTTCGTCGAAAAGGTGCGCGATACGATACCACACATTCCCACGTCGGCGAGTTCAACCCCC